CTTCTCCAGAGCTAATGTGCTGCCAGCCTGTGAACTCTCTTCCCCTCTGTCCCATTGCCACAGTCCAAAGCATCAGTCTGATGTTGTCTTTTTCAGGTATTTACCCACCACTTCCAAACATGAACCCTGCATATGTGCCACCTCCACCACCCTACTCTGGGCCATCTCCTGCGGGACCTTCAGCCCCCTCAGCTCCCCCATCCTGGGTGAGCCCTGGGATGCCAGGTAAATGGGACTGGGGGCTGACCAGGGTTTGGTTGCAAAAGGGTGCATGGGGCCTTGGACTGAGGGTGTCTTGAGCACAGTATGGGGAACCTGTTGTTGCAGGAGCTCAAAGTCATCTGTGGGGAGCTTCTCAGCCCTGCAGCTGACTACAGCTTGAGGTCAGCCCTAACCAGCTTTCCTGAGCTGCTCTGAATGTTAACCCAGCTTGCTGCAGTTCCTGTCAACTCTTTGGGCCTTTCTTGCCTCCTTGGAAGAGCTATGGCTGGGGAGGAGGCTCTGGGACCACTGCCTAAGATATTTAAGGTGGCTTTCCTTTTTTTTCAGGAAGCAGTAAGGCCATGGAAGCTGCTTCCAGTGCATATTACAATCCTGCCAACCCACACAACGTGTACATGCCCATGGTGAGTACTGTGCCTGGTCTGTAGCTGCTCCCTCCTCTGTCAGTAGCAGAGACAGTGGTTTGCTTTCATAACAATTTGCTTTCATACCTTCATGTTGAACATGCACAGAAAGTATGCATTTTTCTGGGAGGGAGGCATGGATGTTGGTCCCATGAGGAAGGCTTGTTAAATTTTCAGTCAGGAAAGGAGGAAGGCTTTAAGATTGGTCAGTAACAGCCATTTGTTACCTGTCTTATTCCTAAAGGCATAACAGAGAACAGAGAACATGCAGACCTCTCTGAATCCACTGGGCGTGAAAGTGGGGAGAGTTAAAGAAAAACAGGTCACTTAAGGATGAGAGCATGTGGATTTCTCTTTCATTTTTTTCTGGGCTGTATGGAGATGAGAAGGTCTCTTGCTGTTTTGTTGGTGGAGCCAGTAGGTTGGCTGTAGCCTACACCTGGTACATGACAGTCCACCGGTGCCCTTCACTGCCTTGTGTGGGTTTGGCTGGCTGGAGGGTGATGGAGCAGCAAAGCTGGCCCTCAGCCCAGGAGCTTTCTATCTGCTGGGTCAGAGCTATGAGCCTCAACGGGGACAAAGCCCTGGAAGAGGAGGGAGGATGATGGTTAAAGCAGATTAAATGGTTCATTTACAGTAGACCACTTGTTACCTGGTTTTGAAGGGACCTTCCCTAGAAACATTATGAGAGACAGTGTATATCATGGAGCATAGCTGACACTAGAGAGGAATGGTGTGATGAAATGACAGCTTAAACTGTAGCACCTGGCTCTATCTGTAGCTCATTGCAGAGCAGTAATTTCTTGTGAGCCAAGCCTGGAAGAGCTTGTCATAAAACAAGCAGGGTTGTTGACTCTACTGTGTCTCCTTCCAGGATCAGCCACCTCCTTATACACCTCCCGAGGATAAGAAGAACAACTAACAGAAGGAAATCAGCCTCTCACACTCTCTCTCCCTGAAGACAACTTGGCTGTTAGTACCCCTCGAGTTAACATATCTCTGGATCTCTGTTTCTATACGATAGATGTAGTGCTGGGCAGCTGAGCACCTGCCCTCCTTAAACATTAAGTCAGTGGCAATACAAGGCAGAACAACAGCACTTTCCTGCTTATTTGCTTTATCTCATGGGGTCAAAGCACTAACCTTTTGCTCTGCCATTGGCTTGAGGAGAGAGATAGACTTCTTATTAAACCACCAGTATATCACATGACTAATCTAGGACTAAAATGTGAAGGCTCTGGGATCTTGGAGTAAAACAACTTGGAGTGCCAAACTTTTTAGTTCTGAAGCACCATCCAAGAGGAAAGGTGTAGAGAGCCATGAGGTTCCTTGCATAGATTCTTGGGTGTCCCAGAAAGGTGTTAAATTTCTTTAAATTCTAGCACAATTCAGCGTGAGATGGGACTCTGGAAATCCTGTATTGTGCTGGAAGTGTACAGTTCATGTCCTGGACTAACAGTCATGAGGTGATGACCTGAGAAGTGCATTCTAAGAGACACTGAAGCATTTGGCTATGCAAGAGGGAAGGGGATGGGCACCAACCAGCCTGCCTTTGTAGCCATTGAGTAGAAAAGCAAACAAAGGTGTGCCACAGGCCAATGAGCTGATAGATTGGCAGGCGTTCGGATCAGTCTTCCCTTCCCTGTCCTAGAAGCAGGCCCCATATCTGTGCAGTGATCCTGTGTCAAGCAGCTGTTCTTCAAGCGTAATGGAGTCAAATGCTGCACAGGAGGCTGCCTACCTTGGAGCGAAATATGTTACATTAGGAAGATGACCTGGCACTAGCCTTGTCAGCAGACAGGTCTCTCAGCCCTGGCTCCCTCTGCTGAGCAAGCTTGCGCTGTGTGCTACCTCCACAGGGGAAAACTGGCCCTCATCTTTTCCTTTAGGCCCACATCTGAGCAACGTGGGCAGGTGGGCACTGTAATCCCAGAGTTGGATTGCTTAGGAGTGCAGTGTCCTCTCAGCTGGGAACCACTGTCAGGGGTGGATGTTACTATCGCTCAGCTCTCTTGCAGAAACTCTGGCTGCTCAGCCACAATCTTTCCTTTTTCCTTAGGACATAGTGCCATTAAACCTGCTCTGAAGAGAGTCTCTAGTCTGGTAGAGACCCTTATGATCCTTTACTTATGGGGTGATTGTACTCCTTCCTACACCCCCCTACCTTCACAGTGAGGGGGAAGGAGTGTTTTGCCTCTTACTTCACTGTGTGCCAGGGCTCTCCTGTAAGTCAGGTTTGCACAATTTCGAGCAGTTCCACATGGGGGGAAGTAAATTTCCTTATCTATAAACACTTTTTAGGTCTGAGTTAGAGATATTCTAATAACTCTGTATTTAAAAAAAATCAACCATGAATGTTTGTAACTTTTTGAATTGCACTTTAATACAGGAGTGTTGATACCTTTAGTTGCTTGTTCACTGTTGTGTGTATGTTGTGTTGACCTTAATTCTTGTGTACTGCACAGAGGGCTGGAATGGGTTCGGTTGGTGGCGTTCTCTCAGGTCAGCTGTGAGCCAGTCCTTCTCTCCCCCTGGTACATGCCTACACTGGATCTGGAATCAAGTAACTGGAGAGAGGGAAAAGGTGGGGCTTATCCCCTTGTTGCCTGGGAAGGGCGGAAGGCTGGTTGGTGCCTTTGCTCTCATCCAGGTATCCAGAACTGGCACATGTTCATACCCTCCAGGCAGGCACAACACTGCATTTAGCAAGACTGTGTCACCACAGTGCTACTCACTACAGCTGTATTTGTTGCACCTTTTCTCTTAACGTTTGCTGCCACAGGGAAGGCCTGTCTTTAAGAGGAGCTCCTCACTAGCAACTTTTTTCCAGTAAGGGAAAAATAAATATATTATAAAGGAAAATGGCACTTAGCTGTGGACTGTAAAATCTGTTTCCCCTTGTGCCAAGGAGTGCCGTTGCCCTGCTGAACATGATGTAACTACTGGAAAGCCATTTCCCACTCTGCATCAGTCCAATTTCTGAGAGGAAAGCAGTTCTATTTCTTAGCATAGTTCCTGTTTTGAGGTAATGACCCTGTAATCCTGCATTAACCATGCAGTTATAGCTAGCAACACTAAACAAACATGAGACAGAGTCTGTGATCTGCTTCCCTTTATTTCAATTTATTTGCCTCAATCACTTCCCATGAACAAAGCCAGCTCTTGTTTGTTAGCAAGTCCTTCCTTAATAGCAATGCAATCACTGTGTTCAGTATCTTGATGCTGCACTCAGAGAAAGTTTCTGGAAGTGGCCAGAATCAGCCATTGGGTCCTGCAGGAACCAGAGTGGGCAGATGATGAGGAACCCTTTGGAGAGATGAACAAAACCAGAACTTTTTTTGCCTGATCTAAAATGTGGTATTTCCCCAGTCTGAGGCTGCACCCCTCTCTGTGGGAGATGGGGTAGGCCATGTCATACCTAAACTCTTCCACAGGATGTGTGCTGTATGAAGGTGAAACAGTTTTGAGGGCTTTGGAGTCTGTCCCACCACTCACTTCCAGTTTATTAGTGCAGGCTCCTCCTCAGGATGGAGCTGTGGATGTAGCTGCCCTTGGGAGAAGGAGGAGCCTTTCCCTGAGAAACTCTTGAGTGTTAAACCTACTGGAGGACCTGAGCTGCCTCCTAGCAGGAATGATCTAGAAAGAACAGGATGCAACTTGCAGCTTGGAGGCACCTCAACTTGAGTACTGGCATCTTCCCAACACCGCTTCTACACAACATGCTATGGCTCTTCAGTTTTTGGTGCTGTACCACAGCATGGCTGCTGGGATCATGCATGGAAGTTTTTGCTCTTCTCTGCTGTAAACTGCTGCCAGAGGGGCTTTAATACAATGCTAGCATGGATACTAGGCTGCAGCAGTGCTGGCCTCTAGGATCCTGGCAGCAGGATCAGGCCTGCAAGTAAAGCCTCTCTGCAGGCTTTACTTGCCTCCATCTTGCCTCCAGAAGTTCTTGGTAGTGGTGGGGGTAGATGGGAGGGATGCAGCCCTATTGACAACTCCTTACTCTAAGCCAAGCTGATTATAACAAAAGAAAGGTGACCAGGTTTGATCCTTGAGATTAATGCCATTGCATATTTGGGCCTGGGGAGGAGAGGGGTGAAGGGAGAAGGGGGTGTTGCAACCCTAGAAGATAGTAAAGCATCCAATACCCTTCTACAGGTACAGTTCAAACAGCCCCTGCAATGGTCAGTGATACCCAGCTCAAAGCAGGGAAGTTCTCAGGTGTCAGAGCTGACAAACTCCAACAGTGGCTGGACTCTGCTTATATGGCATCTTCCACAGGAGGATCTCAAAGGGCTTTGCAGTCATTGAGGAATTATGCTCTGCACACCCTTAGGAGGCGGGTAACAAGAATTCCTGACTTACACAGACTGAACAGACATCATCAAGATGGTATTAAGGAATGGTGTCAGGAGTGCTGGGCACACTAGCAAAAGGCACTTGTTCAGTGAAGAGCCACGTGTCCCAGGGTCTCGCAGCTCACCCTGGCACTGGCCCACACCCCACCCACTGCACCTCATCACAGGAGAATAGGGCGGAGACCCTCGCCATGGGCTTGCTTTCTGACCACATGCCAGGGTTGCACCGGGAGTGCCGTGGGACGGAGATACCACATCACCACCCCTGAGGGGTTAATAATAACTGAGAAGTTGTCTCCTGTCTTTAAGCCACTGATGATCTTCCCGCTGTACACGTCTTGTACCTGGAAGAGAGAGATTTTCACAGACCTTTCATCTTGGGGTCCAGCTGTGGTCACTGACAGCATAGCAGGACAGGGCACAGTAGTGGGCAACAGGAGGGTGAGCCAGTGGGCAGCTGCCCCTTCATCCTGGACGCACAGAGTGTGAGTCCTCCTTCCCACTCCTCCCAGAATGCATAGAGAGCTGGGAAGAGGGGGATCCAGGTGCCATAGGGCTGCCCTGCTATGCAGTGTGTCAGTGGGGCTCACCTCATACACAGCATCCTCAGGGAAGTGGAGCTTGGCAAGGCTGGTGGTGTAGAGGAAGGGCATATCTGTCCTTCGGCTGAAGAAGACGAGGGCACTGGCAGCCTGGGACAGTGGGCGCAGAAACACCTCGATGAGGGTTTTCTCCTAGGAGTAGGGATAGGTGGGTGAGGCAGAGCTGCTGGGACCAGCACTGGCCCATAACCTGTCTGACCTTGCCCTGTGGGGCTGCTATGCCAGCAGGCCCCCAGCTTTCACAGCTCTCCTGCTCTTGTTTCTCTGCATCACTTCTCTCTCCCTCCTTACTGTGATGCTCTATGCTGCTCCCAAATGTATTTGCCTTGTTCCTAACCTTGACAATCCTGCGGCCCTGAATTCCCAGGGGGTCCTGGTTGATCTGGATCATCAGGCGGTTCTGCAGGATCTCCTTAGCACTTGGGGAGATGGTGCGGAGATCCGTGGACATGAGGAGAGGAGCTGCCATCACTGTCCACAAGGCCATTTGAGAGCGTGACTGCTCATAGCTAAGGCCAAAATTTCCAATGATGAGCTGGAAGGGAGACAGTGAAAAGATGTGAGAGGCAGAAAAAGGTTAGAAATTTGTCTATTTGTCACCCTTGCTGATGCTGCTTCCTCCTGGGAGGGAGCTTTCCAGGGAAACCTCACACACATTTTCGCTTCCTCTTGAGCATCCACCACCAGCAGATCCCACCTCTGCCAACAGCACACATTCAAATGCACTCACTAACACCCTTAATTTCACCAATACTCCCCCTCAGTCCATGGAGGGAAGAAAAGAACACGTGGATGACTTGTAAACTCAAACAGTGAAGGGTTCATTGCAACCATGCGGTTTTCCCAGAGCTTAGCCAAGGGCAACACCAGCTTTGCCTCTTTGCAGCAACAAGACTCCTGCTCTTGGCACTCGTCCTTTGCCCTGCCCATAGAAGAGGATCCCTGGAAATCCTCATCCCCAGACAGGGTCACAGCACCCACCACCCAGCCGCACCATGTCTGGGTCATTCCAGTGACCGGGGCCAGCTGCTGGCTGCAGCACGTCCTGGTTTGTGAAGAACCAGTCCAGGATGGAAAGTACACTGTCCCAGGAGTCCTGGATGTCATCATAGTTACGCCACAGGTTGCAGACCTCTGCCAGGATGGTGTAGTTCACCTGAGGAGAAGAACGGGGTCAGGCAGCAGGGAAAATGGAACTGGTCTGCAAGGTGAGGGAGAAGAGGCAGCCCAAACTGCTGAGAGCTGCACTGTCCAGAAAGTGTGTCAAAGACAGAGGGATCTGGAGAAGGGCAGCATCATGTAGGAAGGGAGGACAAAGTCATGTCCCAGTATGACTGGGCACATGCCAGTATGATAGGATGTCTGGCAAAGCAACCACAGAGGCCTTGGGGAAATATGATCAGCTATCAGCTACAAGAGTGAGGGCAGCTTGGGATTAACTCAAAACGTGAAAGAGGAAGTACATGAATGCAACCAATTCTCAAGAAAGATATATTAGGAGGAATATCCTGTTTCAAGCACTGAAACCAGACAGGACCTGTCTCACAAGAACAGACCGTCAGGAGCAACTCCACACCAGCTGAGTAGGGTGGAGATGGCATACCCCAGGGCCTTCTTCCCACAAACTCCCCTCACCTAGCCACGCTGGGAACCCCAAACGTTCCCAGATGCCTGGCAGGTAGGCTACATCCCCTCTGCAGCACCACCCAGGGGCAGAGTGACAAGCAGGGTGTAGCACCTGGCTCCTGTGGCTCCAACAAGAGCTCCCTCAGCACACAGGGGACACAGGAAACTGCCACTGGATAGGACAACCCTCACCTTGGGGGGGAGCCCTCCCTGGTATGCTGGCCAGCTGCAGGAATAGACGATGGGGCGGCCTGTGGCGTTCAAAGCCCTCGCCATTTCTGGGTAGCCTTAGGGAGAGAAGATGACAACTGATGAAGAGGGTGGCTGGCAGCAGCCTGCGTCCCAACAGCAGCCTGTATTGCAGCCCACCCAGCAAGGGGAAACCCAGGCCACCGTGGCTTTCTGCCTTACATCAGCTCCAGGGCACCCAAACTCCCTCCCCTTTGCCCAGGAGTTGCAATAGGAGACAGAAGGCTGGCCAAATGTTTCTGCAGATGGCCAGCTGCCCCAACCAAAGCAGCAAGGGAAGAAATACCAGATGGCCCATGAGCTTTTACCCTTTGCTTGCTCGTGTTCTGATGAGTAGCACCCATCCAGCTTTAGCATATCCACACCCCACTCTGCAAAGGTCTGGGCATCCTGCTTCACATAGTCCAGTGTGGTGCCTGGGTAGCCCCCACAGGTGAGGCTGCCCAGGTCGCCGTAAATGCCCAGCTTTAGGCCCTTGGCATGGACCTGTAAGGAGAGGAGAGCTGCAAGGAGTGGATGCGGGGATCCAACGTGTCTCCCAGGTGCCAGGGTCCTCCATCCCCTCCCAGTTCTCCCACCGTGGTGGCATGGAGACACAGAAGTCCCCACAAACCCCAGCAGGCACTCACATAGTCAGCCAGAGCCCTAATTCCACTAGGAAATCTCTCAGGATCGGGAACCAGCCGTCCTGCCGCGTCCCGCTGCTTGGCAGACCAGCAGTCGTCAATGTTGATGTACTGGTATCCCAGCACCCTCCATCCATCCTCTGCCAGCCGGTCTGCCATCTCAAAGAAGAGCCTCTCGCTGTGGGTTGAGGGGACATGGCAGGCTGAGACCCTGCAACCCCTGTGCCCCACTAGTTGTGGTAGGCAAAGGGATTTGGGGTTAGCTGGGGACTCTGGAGGGTTGATCGCTGCTGGTCTGGTCTGGGCCATCGGAAGGGCTCCTGTTTAAACCCCGTCAGGGTCCCGTTCCTTGACCTCACCGAGGGAAGGTGTTTCCCGACCCGTCGCAAAGCCTGGCCACATCCTTCAGCTCCGGGGGCTCTCCAGCCCAGGACCGGGCGCCTGAGTCCCCCGCCTCCCACGCACATACACCCGGGATCCCAGGGACACACGCTGCCAGAGCTGTCGCAGGTCTGATGTCCTACCCGACCGCTCACCGTCCCGCTGACCTGATGCAGTTGTGGGGATCCGCCCGGCAGTCCACGTTGCAGCGGAACCTCTCCCAGGCCAGCCAGCCCATGGGGGGAGTGCGCGCCAGCCCGTTCTCCAGGGCCACAGAGGGCACCGCCAGGGCTACGGCCACGGCCAGGGCCACCCCGCTCGGCACCATCGTGCCCACCGCTGGCGCCGGGGCACAGAAAGACTCTTCCGTTCTCGGCCCGGCCCCGCTCACATGATGCCGCCCACATCACCTGACTGCCTCCCCCCGCCTCCCACCCGGCCCGGGGCCACCGGGACCCGCCGGCATGGCACAGCACCGTCCTGCGCCCCACAGCCGGGGCATCCCGTTCATATCGACTCCCCCCGCACTGCTGCACCCTGTCAATATCGCACCCCGTCCGTACTGCACCCCACTGCTTGCTGCAACGCGCAGCAGCTGCCCACCAGCACTGCGCCCAGCCGGTACTGCACCCCATTGCCATCGCACCCCATTGCTGGCACCCTATCACCGCCGCCCCCCGCGGCTGCTGCATCCCAGTAGTTACACTGGGAGTGGGGGGTTTATGTCCCCCCGAGGTTGGGACCCCGCAGGAGTGTCGGGAGGAGCGAAGGGGTGCGGGAGGACGCGGCTCCGGGCAGGCTGCGGTGCCCCCCGCCCCCCGCTCCTGCTGCCGCGGCCGCCGGCGGGGCGGTGCTGCCGGCGCGGCGGGACGGCCCCAGCGGCCGCAGGAGCCCTCCCCCGCCCGCGGCCGGGGCTGGGTTGCCCCGCACCGCCGAGCAGGAGCGGCCGGAGGTGAGCCGGGACGGGCCGGGACCGGGGGCCGCCGTCCCGCTGTCGGGACAAGCTGGGCAAGGGACAGCTGGGCAAAGGCCAGGTGGCGGCGGGGCCGGGCCCGAGCGGCGGCGGGGCGGGCGCGGGGCCGCGGGGGTGGGAGGCACACGGCGAACACACACACGGAGGGGCACACACACGCACACAAAGACACGCCGCCCGATTGCACAGGCGTGCGCCCGCACACAAAGACAGAGCCCAGCACTGCACACTGTGACCCCCGCAGCCCCCTCGCATCAGGGCTGGTGAGGGCCGCCCCGGCTGCCCGCAGCCAGAGTGTGCCGGGCTGGAGGTTCCTCAGGGTGCCGCGCTGAGGACAGAGCAACCCCGGGGAACCACCTTTCCTTGTGTCTGATCGGGGTCTTGTGCATTTTCATACCGGGATCCGTGCCCCCAGATCCTCAGCCCTGCCCCGCAAGCCCTGATGGGGGAGAAGGGCTCCGGGAGGGATTCTGGAGGTTGCTCAGCAGTAGGGAGCTCCCCACGACCGGATCTGACCAGGGAGTGGTGGCTATGGTTTGTTTTCTACATATTTTTGTGTGTGGAGTCTTAGCGGTCGGACATCCTTTTGCAGTTGTACAATCCACAAAGGCTGTGCTGGCTCTGTCCTTTGAGGCTCTGTCCTCCTCTACCTGCCGAACCGCCTGCCATAGGGCCTCTGCAAATGGGACAGTGACAGCTTCTACAAAGCCTCTTTTTTTTTTTTTAATAAAACCAAACCAAAGCCCCAGGAGCCAGAAAACAAACCCACAGGAGCACTGGCCTGAGCTGAGATGGAGTTCAGGCTTTGAAGCCAATGCATGTGCCCCCAGTTTTGCCACCATGGCTTCCAGAGCTGCCTGCCTGCGCTGAGGACTCTGGCTTTCTGGGGTGGGAGTGGTGCAGCTCTTAGCTCTTTTGGTCCAAACTGTTCTGGTTCATGACTCCCTCTCTGCCACCTTTTCTTCAACAAAGGATGGGGCTCATCACAGTGAAGCTTTGGAGACCCTCGACGAGGGAGCAGCCCAACCAAGGAAGACAGCAAGTCTGACCCACACAGCCGGTACGGCACCTTGCACCCCACTGCTGGTGAACCTGCCAGGGCTGAGCGTTCTGCTGCCGGGAGGGCTGTTGGGAATGGGTGGTCCTGCATGGAGACAGGGAGTGGGGAGAGGGTGCTGAAATGGAAGTTTCAGACCCCTTGGGTCTGAAACATTCTCCTTTTCCTGCCCTCTAATAGAGAGCAAAATGAATGCCTTGCAGACACAGAAGCCAATTTCTTTGATGTGCCCCGTAAAAAACCCAGCAAAGTAGGACACTCATGGAATAAGAAATTAAACAGTGATGTTGGCATTCCCAGAGAAGGCAGGTGTCTTGGTGGTGGGGCTCTGATGATGACCTCCTCTTTGCAGCAGTGAGGAACCAGCCTGCCCTTTGTAGGGGTGCCTGCTGGATTAGATGCTGTCCTGCATTGCTGGCTGCTGGAGTCCTGCTTTTCCCTAGGGGCAGGATCAGGCCTCTTCTGGTGGGGCCAATGACATCTTCCACACACTGAGACAACTTCCCCCTCTCTTCCTCTGCTCCTAGGCAGGGTGATGAAGCTGAATGAGCGAAGCGTGGCCCACTATGCCACCTGTGACTCACCCGCTGACCATGCCGGCTTCCTGCGCAAGCGGGTGGAACGGCACCACCACCATGCCCACCACTACAGCACCTCCTACCAGCGCCGCTGGTTTGTCCTCAAGGGCAATCTCCTCTTCTACTTCGAGGAGCGGGAGAGCCGTGAGCCCGTGGGGCTGGTGGTCCTGGAGGGCTGCACCGTGGAGCTGTGTGAGGCTGCTGAGGAGTTCGCCTTTGCCATCCGCTTTGACGATGCTGGCGCCAGGGCTTATGTGCTGGTGGCTGACGGGCAGGCTACCATGGAGGCCTGGGTGAAGGCACTTTCGCGGGCCAGCTTCGACTACATGCGGCTGGTGGTAAAGGAGCTGGAGAAGCAGCTGGAGGAGGCTTGCAAGAGCTTGGCTGCTTGCCGCAAGTCTCCACGGAGGTCCTCCTCCTCTGGCAGGAAGAGGCATCTCTCCAACCCGGCCTTGCTGCCTCTCCAGGAGAAGCCTTCCATCCTGGAGAACGGTTACTCCACATGGGGTAGTGGTGTCCCCGGTGGGGCTGCCTGCCCTGACCATGATGGGGGGCAAGCAAAGCCCCCACCCCTGCCTCCTCGCCGGCGCTCGGCCACTGGCAGCGCCACGGGGTCCCCAGGGCCCAGCCTTTCACCAGCCATGCTGGAGAGCCCAGTGTCACCAGACACGATCTGTTTCTCCAAGCTGCACAGCTGGTACGGGCAGGAGATCGTGGCACTGAGACGAGAGTGGCAGGAGAGGCAGAAGAGGGGACACCTGTGACTGAGGGCGCAGGATGCAAGTCACCAGCCAGCTGATGCCTGTCAGCCTGTCTCCCACATGGGAAGAGCAGAGCAAGGGACTCAGTGGCTGAGTGTGCAGTGTGTGTATGCTTCACAGGGTGTGTGGGAGGGATCCGAGTCTTCCCCAAACTTCATGTTTCACTTCCATGAGACTTTGTACAGCCGGAGTGTGTAATACCAGGAGAGCCACCTCTGAACTCTCCTCTGCTGGTGATATGAGGTATGGAGGGGGCCCAAATCAGCATGTATGCAGCGAACCTCAGCCAAAAGGCTTGGCCCCTTGCCGTCTTGCAGGCATGCTTCATCACCCACCTCTCATTCACCGCTTTTTTTTGGTTTTGTTTCTTAGTGTGGAAGTTTGCACGGGTCAGCGTTTATTATTGTCTGCGGTCTTGCGCCAAAGTCCTTCTGCTTTTGTTCTTTTGCTGCAGATAAGGCTGGGCTCTTATGAAGTGCCTCCAATGGGCCACTGGCCCTGGCGTGTGCCTCCAGCCTTGTGCCTCTCTCACCACAGGACATGTGTGAGCCACTGTAGCTGTGGCTGGCCCAGGAGCTGGGGCTCTTGCATTGTCTTTTTTTTTTTACTTTTCTTTACTTCTTTACTGACCCTTCTTCCAGCTAAATTCTTCAGGATGTGGATATCACGGGCTTGCATCTGTCTCTTTGTGTGCTCAAGCTCAGCAACAGGGCTGAAATGGAGACACAGAGCGTGGCCTGAAGCAACAGTGAGGACCAGGAGCTCCCCAGGGCTTATTTGAACTCTGTCAAGTGGTAACCAAGCCTGTTACTATTTCGGGCTCAAGCTTTCCCTGTTCCAAAACAGGGATGCTAAAGCCTCTTCACCTGGCCAAGAGTAAATTTCTCAGCCTTTGTTCAGACCACAGCTCCTGCAAAGTGCCGTACAGGGCTCAGTCAGCTCATTAGGCTGCTTGCCCAAGAGGGTGTCCAGAGCCACACCCTTGCTGGGCCTCTCCTTGTGGCTCTGCGCAACTCCTGGCAGTGCTGCACAGTCAGAGGAGAGGCTTTGCAGGAGCAGGGAAGAGGAGAGAGCTGGTCTCGGGAGGAAAAGTGAAGGTGTGGGAGTGATTTACAGGTAGCAGTGACTGTGTGTTGGTGGTGTCTGGGCTTGCCTCTCTAGCATCGAAGCCATATTGCTGCTTTCTACCAAGCCAGCACTTGGCCTGCCTGTGCTTCCCTCTGACTTCATCTCACCATTGCTTGGCTGATTCCTGTAGCACATCCCATCTTCCCAGCAGGCTGGGAGGGCTGCAGGGAGGCATGCCTGTCACCTCACTGCAGAAACAGACTTGTCCATCAGTAGGTCAGAAACCTTGGCCACAAGACAGACGGTACAAGTAGGTGGATGCCAAGTCCAGGGACTAGAACACCCTGGAGTTGGGGTTTATAAATCTCCCTTATCCTCTTGGCAAGGGCTGTTTTTCAGATTAAAAAGTGTATGTGAAGTAGTCATGTGCTTCCTATCTAAAAATGGAAAAAACTGGTTTTATTGCCCTGTTTTATTAAGGAGCCTTGCTGGGAAAGCAAAAGGCCATTCCAGGTCATGACTGGCTGGAACCTATTTTGCTTTTCTGGAGTTAAATGCACTCAACTTTATACTTTGCAATAGCCAGTAGAGAATGCCAGTGCAGAAATCAAATTAATTCCAGTAACTCTTGGTGCCTTTGAAAATATAAATCTCTGGTTGTTTTGGATGATGAGCTTCCAGCCTCCTGCCTAATTATGGCTCAGTGGTGTATTAGAGGAAATCTTAAATCAGATCTTAGCAATATGACTTCAGGCAGTGACAGTGTAACCTTCACTTACAAGTGATGCTATCCAGTCCTCTCCAGTTTGTGCCTGTATTTCTTCACAGTAAGGATCTTCAGGTCTGGGAGGATTATTTTTGTTCTGTTTTTAAGTGAAAATAGTTCAGAAAAAGCAGGAGCAGGTGGCCATGGGTCAGGCCCCAGGCTCTGTCAGCAGCCCA